GTTAACCTTGTTACCCCTTGTTACCCTTTTTTACCCTTGTTACCCCTTGTTACCCCTTTTTGCCCTTGTTACCCTTGTTACCCTTGTTATCCTTGTTACCCCTTGTTACCCTTGTTACCCCTTGTTACCCTTGTTACCCCTTGTTACCCTTGTTTACCCTTGTTACCCCTTGTTACCCCTTGTTACCCCTTGTTACCCTTGTTACCCCTTGTTACCCTTGTTACCCTTGTTACCCCTTGTTACCCTTGTTACCCCTTGTTACCCTTGTTACCCCTTTACCTTACCCCTTATTTACCCCTTGTTACCCTTGTTGCCCTTACCTTTTTACCCTTGTTACCTTTTATTTACCCTTGTTACCCCTTTTTACCCTTGTTACCCTTATTACCCCCTTGTTACCCTTGTTACCCTTGTTACCCTTGACCCTTGTTACCCCTTGTTACCCTTGTTACCCCTTGTTACCCTTTTACCCCTTGTTACCATTGTTACCCTTGTTACCCTTTTACCCTTGTTACCCTTGTTACCCCTTTTTACCCCCTTGTTACCCCTTTTTTACCCTTGTTACCCCCCCTTGTTACCCTTGTTCCCTTTACCCTTGTTACCCCTTGTTGCCTTGTTACCCTTGTTACCCTTGTTACCCTTGTTACCCTATTTACCCTAGTTGTTATTGCCTTTTTTACCCTTGTTACCCCATGTTACCCTTGCCCTTTACCCTTGTTGCCCTTGTTGCCCTTGTTGCCCTTGTTGCCCTTGTTACCCTTGTTGCCTTGTTCCCTTGTTACCCCTTGTTACCCTTTGTTACCCCCTATTTGCCCCCTTGTTACCCCTTGTTACCCTTATTTACCCTTGTTACCCTTGTTACCCTTGTTACCCCTTGTACCCTTTGTTACCCTTGTTACCCTTGTTACCCTTGTTACCCTTGTTACCCCTTGTTACCCCTTGTTACCCTTTGTTACCCTTTATTTACCCCTTGTTACCCCTTGTTACCCTTTTTGTTACCTTGTTACCCTTGTTACCCCTTGTTACCCTTGTTACCCTTATTTACCCTTGTTACCCTTGTTACCCTTTTGTTACCCCTTGTTGCCCCCTTGTTGCCTTATTTGCCTTGTTACCCCTTGTTACCCTTGTTACCCTTGTTACCCTTTGTTACCCTTGTTACCCTTGTTACCCTTTGTTACCCTTGTTTGTTCCTTGTTACCCTTGTTACCCTTGTTACCCTTGTTACCCTTGTTACCCCTTGCCTTATTTACCCTTGTTACCCCTTGTTACCCCTTCATTTACCCTTGTTACCTTTTACCCTTTGTTACCCTTGTTACCCTTGTTACCCTTTTTACCCTTGTTACTTTTTTGTTACCCTTGTTATTTTGTTTACCCTTGTTACCCTTTGTTACCCTTGTTACCCTTGTTACCCTTGTTACATATTTTGTTACCCTTGTTACCCTTTGTTACCCTTACCCTTTTTTACCCTTTATTACCCTTGTTACCCTTGTTACCCTTGTTACCCCTTGTTACCCTTGTTACCCTTGTTAATCTTTGTTACCCTTTGTTACCCTTGTTACCCTTGTTGCCCCTTGTTACCCCTTATCCCTTTGTTACCCTTGTTACCCCTTGTTACCCTTGTTACCCTTTGTTACCCTTTGTTACCCTTGTTACCCTTTGTTACCCTTGTTACCCTTGTTTACCCTTTGTTACCCCTTATTACCCTTTGTTACCCTTTGTTGCCTTGTTGCCCTTGTTGCCCTTTGTTGCCCTTTGTTGCCCTTATTTACCCCTTGTTACCCTTGTTACCCCTTGTTCTTTGTTACCCCTTGTTACCCTTGTTACCCTAATTTGCCTTAAGCCCCTTCTTACCCTTTGTTACCCCTTATTTACCGTTGTTATTTACCCTTATTTGCCCTTGTTTGCCTGTTATCCCTTTTACCCCCTTGTTGCCATGCCCCTTGTTACCCTTGTTACCCTTATTGCCTTGTTGCCCTTATTACCCTTTTTTGCCCCTTGTTACCCTTATTTACCCTTGTTCCCCTTTATTGCCCTTGTTACCCTTGTTACCCCTTGTTACCCCTTGTTGCCCTTGTTGCCCTTGTTTGTTATCCTTGTTCCCCTTGCCTCTTACCCTTGTTACTTTTTCTTACCCCTTGTTACCTTGCCCTTGTTACCCTTGTTAACCCACTTATTACCCCCATGTTGCCCTTATTTCGTTTCTTTTGTTACGCTTGTTGCCTCTTGTTACCCTCGTGGCCCTTTTTTTACACCTCTTGTTAGCGATAAAAGTCCGTCGGAACGAACAGGGTGAGATTTGAATTAAAGCACACTATGTGGACATAGTAATCGTAAACATGATCAGGCAATGACGCAAGGATATCGAACTAGAAAGATGGCTAAGTGAAATAAATAACGACATCAGAAAAGATAACCAAAGCAACAAAGTGAGAACTTAAGGGTTATTCAAAACGAGAGACAATTACAAATGTGAAGATTACCTACATCAGGTCACCAATACGCGACACTGAATAGCTCTAACAAAACTGCGACTTAGCAAGCACAAATTAGCCATAGAGACAGGACGTTATTTGAGACCGTTTAAGAAACCTGCAGAAATAATTTGCTTTATTTTTAAAATAGAAATGGAGGACGAATACCATTTTCTAAATATATGCCCTGCCAGGGAAAAAAAGATGTTTATTACTAGATTATTTGGAAAAAGAATAAAGAATAGAAACAAGCAGAATGTCACGTAACAAAATATTCATGCCAACCTTCCCTCCCGGAAATGCTAAAACACTTTGAAAAGGAAGGAAGGCGGCAAAATAAATACTCAGAAATTGGTAATTGTAACCCGCCTTAACTATATGGTTAAAATTTTTGTTGTTTATATTTTAGTGTTGAAATAGGTGATATACAATTTATTTATTACCATTTATTGTTGTTTCAACAACTTTGAAAGTGAAACTATCAATTAACGAAGCAAAAATTGACGGGTGTGTTACCAATTTTAGTTACCGGGTCTTTCGAGAAACTTTTCCCTCCCAAAGAGGATGCTGGGAAAAACTGATCAAAATGGCGGACGAGCTCATCAAAAAGTTGAATCTTGTTCCTCTGCCAATAGGCGGTTTTTATGCAGAGTCTATGCACGCAAAAACCACAGTTAAACCGTTGGACAACTCCGGGCGTGAAGTGAGAGATGCTTATTCGGTGATTTATCTTCTCTTAAGGGGATCTGATATAAATGCTTGGCACAAGATGAAATCCGAGGAGACCTACTTCTACCACAAGGGGAGTCACATAATTCTTCATATGATAGCTGAAGATGGGAAATACGAGACTAGAATTATTGGAGACCCACTTGTGGATCCTAAAGCTCACTTTCATTATCATGTGCCAAAAAATGTCTGGTTTGCTTTGGAACTTGAAGACAAGACCGGCTTCTGTGTTTTCAGCGAGGCGGCAGGTCCTGGGTTTGAGTACGAGGATTTTGAGGGAGGCGAGAGAGAGAAGATGCTTCGCTTGTTTCCACAGCACAAGGAAGTTATCGAGAAGTTTTGTTTAAAATGACTTTTGACAAACTATTGTAATTTACTATTTTTGGTGAACAAAAGGAAATAATTATTGGTGTGGGTGTGTGTTCTGATTTGTCCATTAATATACAAGAGGCTAATTGAACCAAATCTCAAAGCATATTTAAATAATTATGACAATCTGATATTTTTTCATAATTTTTACAATTTCAATCAGCCAGATGAGCTGTTGCTTTGCTCCGTGATCTGGTAGGGTGTTTAAAGTGAGAAAAATGCTACAATTTGTCAGAGACTGTAAATTTTGTAATCCAAGGCAGAAACTAGTGGAAGATTCATCAAGAGTCAGTATTCAGGAGAAATTTAACTGGAACTTGATTCACTCAGTTTTCTAACCCCAATCACAGGGCCCTCGCAAGGGGAGGGGCTGGTGGGCCGGGCCCCCTGCAACTTTTTGAAAAACAAATAAATAAAATTGAGTACAGTGGAACCTTGATTTAACGAAGGGCCAAGGGACTGGCAAAATATGTTCGTTGATGAGGTTCATTAACTGATATCAAGGTTCTTTGTCATATTGCCTTATATTTTACTATTACTGGAGTAAAAAAAAACAGTTTGTTAGACTGAGGACTTCGTAATAGAGGTTCCATTGTAATGTGCATTTTCATGTAAATAGTATCGTTCTTGGATAAGAATCTTCCAGCATCTAAATTTATTATTGTTCTGTTTCGATCCCATCAGTCTGATGTGTAGTAAGCCTCAAAACACCTATCTTTACAAAGCTGCACTTAGTCCTAGACTTCTGTGTTTTCAAACTAGTAAGGCTATCTAGCATTTGCAACGATGGTGAATAGTCTTGTTTAATGAATGTTCTTGATTAAATCTGAAGACTACTCCATGAACTACTATCGGCTGATGATGTGGTCTCTGACACATTTCGGTGATGTACTAGACAAAATGAAGGGGTTACAGGAACCTACAGTGTAATATAATGATCTGCAAACTTCTACACTTTCAGCGGCTTGAAATTTATAAACATGACTCCGCTCTTAATGACTCAAGAAAGGTTCAGTAATCTGACAAACAAGACAGTTCTAAACATCCACAAAGAGAGAACAATCAAATTTACCCCTCACCCCCCGCCCCCCACCACTTCAAAAGAGGCAGTCACAGGCCCCTGCACTTTAAAAACTGCTCCCCAGGACCTGAATCATGGAAATTCCAAGTCATTTGGCAGCCATATTCAGCATTAATTTTCCAAAAAAAAACCCTACCACAATTTTTTTGATTTTAAATGTTCCTGTTTATTACCAAGGGTTGGGAAAATTCTGCAAAATGAAATTTTTCATCCTTAGAGCTCTGCTGGGGTGATCTTCTCCATTTTTAAAGCTCTGTACACATACCAACACATGACAAGTGAATTAAAAAGACAGTTTATTCACAAATTATTTTTTATCATATTTACTACAAATTTTTGCATGGTGTTATATTTTATCTTAATGAGTTACTTCCAGCATCTGGCTGTCTTGCTTTGTCAAAACAAATATTTTGTAACTTCTGGCAGTTGAGGATCGCCTCCTATAGCAATAAAATTGAAATCATTTAGTTACCTGCATTGCAAATATGTTATAGTTGACCTAACAGCTGTTCCCTGGTGGAAGATAAAACTTTTGACAGAAAACAAGATTATTGGCAGACGACTGTATAATTTTTCAGGGCAGACTTTTTCACTTGTGATGGAAAACATACTTGGAAACGAATATGGCTGACTGCTATTATTTGACATTGCTGATGAACATCAACTCAAGAGACTTAAGGTTAACACGACAAAAGTTGCAAGACTTGTATTACAAATTGACTTGTTATTATTTGATACCAAGTTTGATTCAATTCTTGTTCAATAAATATTCAACATCAAGACTGCTTTGTAATACCCACGCTGTTGCATTTGAAAAATATCGATACTTAAATATTGTGGAATACTGTCTTAGATTACAGTTCACTCTTGATAATTCGAACCCTTGCTAACTCCAACCTTGCGATATAACTCAAACCAAAATCGATTTCCCCCTGATTTCCTTCCTACATTTACTATCATTTTACCCTTGGTAACTTGAATCCTTCATAACTTGAACCTCCCGCCAACTCGAAGTAATTTTTGTTTCCCTTCAGATCATTTCTATTTAGTACCCTCAATAACTCGATCCATGCTTTAAGCACTTAGCAGGTTCAAAAAAAGTGTACTGTAAATGAAACATTGTAATTGTTTTAACAACCATGCATGTATTCTTGGTCTTTACTTTTTTGTTAGTCCAGTATAAACACAGTGTCCAGCACTGCCTATTTATCAATTTTTGAAATGTGCAAGTTATATTACTTGCATTCATTGCCCATCCCATTTCCTTTGAACCCCTGATAACTCAAACTCCCCCTAACTTGAACTTTCTTCAATTTCCCTAGAAGGTTTGAGTTATTGGGAGTCAACTGTATTCTGGATCAAAAGTGCAGTGAAATCCTGATGATGCAGATCTGGTTGTATTGAAGACTGAGGTGATCAGGTAACATTATGGCCTGTTTTTATGTAAACAAATTTGTGTGAAGGGGTATATTGCATGTAAACAAGGGTAATTTGTGTGAAAATAAAGCCGACTCGATAGTGAACCTTCGAAACGAAAAAATTGGGGTATAGTAAATTTTATAAATATTCTGAAGAAATAAAATTGCCAGTTAGCAGGAGATTTGAAGTTAAGAAAGTTCAGGGTACCGGGGTGATTGTATGTATTATATTTTCATTATTTATGACTCTATTGTGATACCCGTATGGTTAAAAACATTCATGGACACCCTAAGTTGAACCAAATCTGCATTTTACACCCCTAAGTGATGTGATGTGTCCCTCTTGTCTGAGAGTCCCCCCCTAGGATGTAATGAAGGGTTCCAATTGGTGGACAACAGCCTGGGAGTAATGGTCAGCTGTAGTCACACATAGTGGTGCATCCTGACCTATACACTGTAAGTAAGGGGTGGTAGACTCATCCAACACTTATGCTAAGGGAGGACCTGGTCCATCATTTTTTTTGATGTTGTAGGCCTTGTTTTTTTTTTCAAATATTGAGGGGAGGGGTGGCTCCCTTGGAACCACTAATGACACACTGTGTCAAAAACTTTAAGTTACCTCATATCTGTCTGGATCTTCTTCTTTCATGGCTGCTATTTTTGTTTTGAGTAGTTCCTTCAGATTAAATTCTGGTCTGTGACACTCTTTTATGCCTTGTGGATAATCAGTCACAAAATAAACCAACAGACCAATGACATGTTCATGTGAGGACTTCTGAGAAGCATGCAACAGACCAACCAATTGTTCAATAAATCCCATCTTGAAGAGTGCATCTAAGAAGAGAAAATAGGAGATACCTTTTATGATATGAAATAGTGAAAACTCTTACAAACTACTTAATTTTCTGGTAAATGAGGGTTGCAGCTTTGTGAGTAACCTAACAACATTATATTACTGGAAATGACACTATGAAAATCAGAATCAGACTACTGAATACCTTTATGTGAAGGATTAGTAACCAGCATATGCCGCAACATAAACGCTGACTTAGTTATCAGTTTATCATTTTCTGCCTGCATTGCTCGGATTAACAGTGAAAACCCATCTGCCTTCAAAAATGCCTCCTCTTGCAATCTTGTGAGACCTAGTAGAAAAAAAAATGAAATAAACATTATTGTGTAAGGTCTCCAGGTGAGAGGAACATTGCTCAGATGTGCTCGTAGTTTTAGCAACTTAATGCTGGGTGTATAATGCTTCCTTAGACAAGAAACTTTGAATGCAAGGAAATACAAACATTATTATTAGCCAAGGTCTCCAGAGTGGAGGAACATTGTTGCTCAGATGTAGAAATGGATTTTAGCAACTTAATGCTAGGTGTATCATGGTTCCTTAGACAAGAAACTTTGAAACACATTTTTTCTCCACCAAGGGGTGATAATGGGACATATTTATTTCAACCTAATGTTTGAGTATCTTGTTGTTTCATTAAAAGTTCACCAGGAAAATTTGCTTCCGATTTTGTCTCTTTTCAACCAGATGCACATGTGTAAATAATGGATTATGGAACTAGCTAGCAACATTACAGTGTATGTCTAAATAGATGCTAACAGAATAATGCTACTGGAGGCCTGAATTGTATATTGTGTGACTGTGTCATCATCTAGTATGTGCATTCCTTGAAATACACAGTGCATACCTGATACGGCAAACAAGGCCTTGATCCTAACTTCTACTGAGTGATCAGTGTCCAGCAGTGAAGATAAAATTGGAAGAATGTTCATTTCTAGTGCAGCTTTTTGACAGTATGGATTATTCTGAACACACACAGCCAAAGTGTCAGCTGCTCTCCACCTTATAGAACTGCAAGGGAAATAAAAGAATCAAAACAAATCTATGGCTACCTGTGCTTACAGTGTTTGTAGAACTGTCCTAATGTTGTATTATAGAGTACTGTCTTTCTTGCACTAGGGGTCAAAGTTGCATTTAAGTTAAGTATAAGTTACTTTAATCAACCAACCAATCAATCAAGAACTACATTGTATTAATGTGTCATAACTACTGCTGGCTGTATCCCAGAAAGGGGCCTACTACAGTCTAACTTCTATTATCCAGACCTCCATTGACAGGATTTTTTTTCTTTGCATTTGATGTACATGCAATTGCTTCACGCTTCAAAGAGCAAATGTAGCACTTGCATGCATTGTACATGTGAGTGAGATGAATAAAGTTTAACCATTGTTTCTAAGGAATCTTCCATGGAACCGAAAAAGTAGTAATGAGAAAAACTTGCAGTAGATAATCATATATTAATTTTCATCATCCAGACTCTTGATTATCCAAACTGTATTTGCGGACACCTACATGTACTTCAACATCACACAAATTAATCAACCAACAGTAATGACAGTTTGATAATTCAGCAGTACCTGTGTTCACTTGACAGACACTTAATCATAACATGAAAGCCCCCAATCTTGTGAAAGTCTGAAAAACTCAAAATAAACCTGTGTCAACAAAACTTAATATTTCATGCAATAAAGGATTTTAACTCCCTTAGCCCATTATTAATGTGAATATTTTTGAGTGTGCTATTTAGCTTCTCTTAAATCTTTTACATATTCAATGATTTTAGGTGATATCTTGTACATTTTAATCTTATGAGATCCTTTTGGAAAACCATACTTGTATGAAAAAGTCATCTCGATAAGTAATGGTAATAGGACTGAGTGGAGTCCAGTTTGGTCTGTAATCATACGAGTGATAAGCAAAATTGGATGACCACGTAGTGGGAGTCCGATTTGTTTAATCAAGAGTATAATAATATTACAGACAGAATTGGACAACACAAAGTTCTGTTACCAATTAATCGTAACTATAAAAATTTGTGATGGTCTAGCCTTTTTTTGACAATTAAAACACAAGAAATTCCACGAGTTTTCTCACTAGCAGTGAAAAAAAAAGAAGCCATTTAAGTGCATGCATGCGATGATGCATACTGTCCTATTACATAGGCATGATGCGTACGTCTGTCCTATTACACTGTCCTGAATGCTGAAATCAGGACAGTTGATAGCCAATCAGATTTACGAATTTTGTAATAGATTATTATTATTTTGTTTGCTTTCCTAGTTATAGGTGAATAAATCTTATTGCAATAATTGAGGTAGCAAAAGATAGGCAATTTCTAGGTAATTTCTTTGTTTATGTAACTTAAGTCTAAGAGAGGTCTTAACATAATAGTTTTTATTGACTGAGGGCTGAGGTATGAAATACAATTTTCTGGAAAATATGTCACGAATGAGTTATTTCCTTTTGTAAAAACTCTGATAGTCAAGCAGGTTTCTAGGCCTAAAAGACGTATTGGGGACTGATGAATACACGTCCAAGTTCAATTTTGTCTTTCCTTGAAATTTTATTCCCTTTGTTCAAAATAAACATGGACACCCCCCCACCCCCAAACTGTAAAACACACCATTTGCATTGTCTAAGTTATCCACAATATCTGCCAGTCCCTCAAAAGCATCTTCTTTCTCTGAGAGGATGTCATCACCATTATCATTTTCAGGTTTGTCAATTGTTTGTAAATGCGTCATCATGCTTTTGACATAGGTATCCTCTGTTATGGATGATAATGCTTCCTGTAGCCACTCTCTCCTCTTCCAAAAAAAAAAACAACATTATTTTAGCTCTCATCCAATCTTTTCAGAAATTATTTGGCAACTCCCCTTTTCGGCAGACATTAGTTTTCAGTGACTGCTCATTTTTGACTTAGACTCAATTTCTTGTTAAACTTTGTTTTCATAGGATGAGTGATGTTATGATAGCCACAGGCCCACCTTGAAAAGTACCCAGGACTTGACAGAAGGTCCATGATGGCACAACATAACACAAAATATTAACCAAAAGTTTATGGTAAGATTTCTTTATTCCCTTCTACTTTTACTTTGCATACATTTATCCATTCTGTCCGTTCAGTTTCTGGCGTAATTAAGTAACACAAACAATATCCGTCAACAGTAAACATCGCCATATTATTGTTTGCAATGCAAGCTTACCTCCTCACTCATTTCTTGGAATACGCTCGAAGTATCGGCTTGTGGATCATCAGAATTGTCCGCGGCCATCTGTAGAAGTCCTTGCAAATTGTGTCGATATCTTCTCCCATCTGATTCACGATTCGCCATCAGTTACACTGCGAACTTCGGTTTTCTATCACTTTAAAAATCCAATGCAGAGATCCAACTATTAAAAAATCGGCAGGCGTTTGAAGACTCCCTGGGAAGACTGGGTACTAATGTGAACTCACTGATCTTTAGAATTACGGGCTCAAATCCAAGATGGCGGACGACAGTAAATCGGTGAGTTCCGAAGCAATATTGTTTTTTTGACTTTTTTCTTGGAATTTTTTGCATTTGTAGTAGAGCATAATTTGTTATAGGTTTTTTCCGGGTAATAGTCGGAAGAGTTTATTCGTAATATAAAAACACACCTCGTTAAGTCGAAGCTACAACTTGTTGGGCTTGTAGGACTGTCAACTGACTGGAAAGTTTACACCTCCTCTCTTAGTTGCCACAAGTTTTTCTTGGAATCCTCAAAACCGTTTTGACCATTATCCTATCAGCCACAGTATTTCAAACGTCTTGTAAGCTGGTTCTCAAGTGCACGCTTACAATATTTCAGGGCTGTCAACCCCCCACGTCTTCAAATGTTGAGAATATGATGGGGAAGGGCTGATACACAACTGTAGATGACGTCATAACGCATGGTATATGACGTCATTTGTGCAAAAAAATACTTATTGACCCAGTCTTCACAAATTTGCGATTACACAAAATGCATGAAAAAGATGTTGTTGGCATTGTTACATTTGAGCTGATTGGTTTACTTCTTACCAATCACATTATTATTACAATGGCATGTCAGGGTGTATAAGGAAACGTTCAGTGTTAACATTAAAATAGCTCAAACAATGCAAAATATTTGAAATTCAGCCTGTGAACAGAGAGCCTGGCTATTTGAAATTTTATTGTCGGAAAGTCTACTGAAGAAATGGCAAACATCGGGGATTATCTGGGAGATTTCATACTCTAATCTGGAGACCAGGAGATACGGTCCAAAATCTGGAGTCTCCCTGATTATCCAGGAGAGTTGACAGCACTGATAATTGGGAGCTATTTGAACTTTAAAATGTAGCACATGTACATGTACTTCACTGTTATTATTACTAGCATCAATGTTTTTTTTTGCTTTGTTGAGAGGGAATTACTGTTCAGGGGTGGATCTAGATGGCCTCAATGCAGAGATGCCAACCTCTGGAACTCTAAAGTCTGGAGAATGTTTCTTTTACAGTACCACCCCCCCTCCCCCTACCTAATTAGTAATCTACTCCGCACCTGATTCACATATAAATCAACCCAGTCATGACATGTACCTGTCAACAGTTGCTTCCATGACTTTAAAGATGAAAAAATCTTTTTCAGTGATGAAGATGCACGAATATGCTGCTAACTTTAAAATAAAACAAGTTTTGGATTTTGAGAAAATCATGGGTTAAATTCCATACAATACAGTACAATAAAACTCAAAAGATATTTTTATCCAGGAGAGACTGGGAGATTTTTGTCATGTCCTGAAAACTCACAGATAATATGGAGAGTTGGCATGTCTCAAAAGGGTGAAGGCATGAAACATTTAGATATTGTACAGCAAAAAGTAAATTTCTTTCTGTTACATTAATTTCATTGACATTTGATTGATATTGTTTTTTGTTTAAATACCTTAAAAACTAGGAAGGAACAGAGGATGGAGTCAAATCTCATCTTGGAGAAACAGCAGATGAGTTTTTGATCAGACCAGTAAGTAGTAAAAATGATAATTTTAACACAGTATAATGGTTAACGATTCCAGCCGTTGTTTGGGAAATGAGCCCGTGAATATGTTAAATTGGACTGTTCAAGCAAGTTTAAATCTTGAACATCCTTCTGCATTATATGGAACCTGTTCCTCTGGTTACTAAAAGGGTTTAAAAAAGACATTAAAATACGCCATAATTTTTTCAATCTGGCGATGGTACAACTGTGACAAAGACAGCACTTACAAAGATCATGCTAATAGTTTTTCTTTATTTCTTGTCAGGCTTTTGTTGAGCATGTAAATATTGAAGGTTATTGGAGAACAAAGAAGGATATTTTAGTTCCTGGAATCAAACGAATCCTAGAGGCCACTAATTTCCGTGAGGTATTAAAATTTAATGATAGTCTAAGGAGAATACTGTTTTCATGAACTTCAAGAAAAATATGAATTAAAATGAAAGCAGTGTCAGAGTTGATTATGGCAATTTTTTTTAACCATTCTCATTTTTGCTTTTGCCACTGTCACAATTGCAATTTCTGTGTAACCATCACTTCATGCTTTGACTTCACTTCTCCCATTTGAACTCCACCCCTTTCCTAGCTTGTTATGCTCCCCATGTACATCTAGCTTTCCCATGGTAACTTATTTAGAGAGAGACTGGACAAACAGACTTGAGGGATGGACAGAGTGACTCGACGGACCAGCCAGGGTGAAAATAATCTTTAAAAATTACATAATTTTGAATTACATTTCCTAGCCTCATTACAAAATGCTCGCTCTAAATAATAGTAATATATTATTACTTTTTCAGCTTATAGCACTTGCTTTTGAGGCAAAAGAGAACCTACAGAATCTTGGAGTCTTTAATGAAATTGATTTAATGATTGACACAAGCTCAGGTGAAGAATTGGGGACTTCTGCATTATATTTTGTTTTCTTAAAAGAGGTATATCAGCTCGATGGTTGTCTTTGAAAAAGCTACTTTCTTCATTTTTCTTTTTAAATACTCTAGAGTTCGTAAGTTTTTAAACAGTCTACAACCATCAAATACATTTACTTGACACTGAAAATAACAAAAAAGATATTAACATAAAATTTTTCCTAAAGTAGGGAACTTTCATAGTGAGAAATTTTAGCTTGTTTAGCTTGTAACTTTTAAATATTTTATTTCATTATATTGACTTTTTTGTGTGAGCGTCATTCATGAGAGGGAGAAGGGGAAGTTTGAGATGCCTTGAACGTGCTGCCCCATTTACAAAATTAAATAAACATCTCTCCACGTAGTATGTTTATACTAATGTTACAGGATGCCTTTAAGGATGTCCTATCTCCACACAATGTAGAACATACCAATTAAGCTGTAGATATATCTCAAAACCATTTCAAATTCTAAGGTTGTAGAACTGGATATCTAAATACACTGACAATTTTTGTGAAAATCTGAACTCTAATTTTTTTTTTTGTAATATTTAAATGTGAGTGCCCTAAACAGCCCGTCAAAGCTAAAACTCAAAGTGTTGTTCCCAACTCAAAGCACTTATTGAAAAAATTGCAATAGGGATAATGATTGTGAAGAAATAAATGTTAGATTTTTGTTGAAGGCCCCTCTGCACGTCCCAATGGGTATGATGTCACATTTCAAGTCCAAGAAAAGAGATTTCTAACCAGTAGTTCAGGAACACAAATTGGCAACAATGAAGGAAACATGGTAGGCATAAAAATAAAATAAATATTTATAATGTTATTAAACTGGAGTTGCGCACATTTTATACATCCCATTGGTGGACGGTTATGACAGTTTTTTCTTTCTTAGAATTTGTAGTGGCATGCCACACAGTGACTCTTAGTAGGATCTTTGTAGAGGGAAACTGTGAAGAATGAGAAAAAAACCTCTTAGACCTCAGTTGTGCAGGAATGAGGGTCAATCTTGTAGATATTAACAAAGACTACAAGGCAAAATCTGGTCTAATTATTAACATTAGAATAAAGTAAAATTTTCAATATAGGCCCCTTACTCATGCAGGGATTAACTGAAAGATTAGGATTTTTTGCTAGTTTATTAAATAATAAGGGACAGTTACTGACAGTTTTCTAAAATCCGATGAAATATTTTAAAATGAGTCACCGGTTATCTGTTTATCCACTGATATCCAACATCTGATTTGGTAACATACATGTAAAATTGTACTTTAAGGGAACAGTGGGTTGTAACATGACTTGTCTTAATTATTTGCAGTTGTTTGGAATGCAGCTCAACAATGTTTTTGGCAGAACAGAACAGGTGAAGGCAGATCTGTCATTTGGTACAAGAACAAGGATGTCATATCAAGTGAGCATATGAATATTTTATTGCAATAATACTTCTGTTGTCTAAACTTTCTGAGACACAACACTGCTGTGTACGTCATTACCTACATTGTACACCTAAGTTATTCTAGCCATGAAAAAAGACAACTTCTCCAGTGGAGTGCTAAACCTTGAGAAGGAACTTTTGATTAAAAGAGTCTATGTATCCCACACATATCCCGCAGCTTAAATAACACTGATAATAATGTATTGTTAAGCAGTCTATAGTAAAACTAAAATAAACTTTCCGTCTTTCAGCTGTCATTCTTTAAGCCTGCTCCAGGGAAACCAGAAAAAAGGTATGTCCTTTTCTGTTTGTTTGTGTGAAACAAACACAGTTGAATTTTACCCATATGGACATCAAAGCAGACACACACAAGAGTCAGGAGAAGACATCTGATGTATTTGATAGCTACAGCTCACTGTATGGTCGGGATAAACAACAACAACAACAACAACAACAACAACAAAATAAAAACACTTTCCATACATGACACTATCCAACAAATTACAGTACGTGTACCTTGTAATTTGCTGTGTAAAACAAATTAATATTCTGTTACAAAATTAAGGCGCAATTTTCTTGATTAAAAGGCACTGGAAATACTATTCTCAAAACCTGAAATTGGTTTGCAAAATTCCAAAATAATTTCACAGCTGAATTCTGAATGACTTTGTGATTACAGACTTCTGCTCCAACGATTTCTTTGAAATTTGTCTGGCATACTTTTTATATTACTAAAAGCTGTTCAGTAAAAAAACATCAGGAATATTTTTCACTTGGTGCAATTTTCTTTAAAAATTAGGGTCCACTAAAGTGCTGATTTTGTTAAAGAAAAATCACCAGTAAAACCGAAAAGTTTTGACACAAAGTTTGCCATAGTGCATTGCACCTGTTAAAACAACAAAGCCACCTTTTGTTTAAAATTCCAGGAAGTGACTGAGTTTCTTCCGACTCAGAATGAGTTTAACAAAAAAATGTTTTTTAGTTTCACTTTTGCAGCCCAAAAATCAACAACAGATGTACCAATGTGTTCTTACCAAGAGGCAACTCAAGGACTTGTCATGGATTTTCAGGTAACTTGTAACCACCAGAACCAGCAGAAATTTAATAGTCTTCTTTTTCCCATCTTGTTCACATGGTAGGGAGCTAAGCATAAATTCCTCGCCACTTTTTTTCTGCTCTGTTCTCTTTGTGCTATCCCAGCTGTACAAATGCCCAGAAAGAATGCCTAGAAGCTTGTGTACAGCATCTTCACCATCTGCATTCCTTTTCCTTCAAAAGTTCTCTTGTAAAAAGTGTTACATGTATGTGGGTCTAGTGGCCCCAAGCTGTTTACCTTGGAATGGTTCCAGTGTTGTTGCTGATTTGAAGAATGCTGTAAAAAAAGGAGAAAACCCAGGGGGACTCAAATGATATTTTTCTTGCTTATATTTCAGCTTCCCTCTGTCATTGGACAGCACTCTTTTTCATGGGAAGGAATGTGGCGTGAGGTAACAGAGTTGTCTAAAAACGCTTCCTTTGCTGTTCGGGAACAAGCTGGTCATTCACTGAAGAGTTCACTCAAGGTAATAACTTGGAATTCCTCAAGCAGAGTAACAGGGGCTGGGTTTTTCATACTACTTTTATTTTCACAATCATGTGCCTTGGTTGTCTACAATCGGCAACAAAATTAGTTGAGACACTTTGCCCTAAAGGGCCGGTCTCTGACGCTTTGCCAGCGTAAAAAAAAAGAAAATAAAGCTTTCCCTTCCCTACCCCCTCCATGCAATGTTGTGCCGCTGTTCCAGCTACCTGTAGAAAACAACAAACACCCAACTTTGCAATTCACTAAGAATAAGATTGAACCAATCATTTGCTTGCATTTTTTTCAGCACACAGTTGTAATGGACAAAAGGGATAACTTAACTTTACCAACTGAAGGGTATTTTCTAAAACTCTCTCAGGTTTGTGCAATGCTTATATATTTCTTACGGTTCTCAAACATGTAGGCAAAGTGCAAACGGAGTGAGGGTGGCGCAGGGTGGTGCAGTGCTGCCTCCCATCAGTGTCGCCCATCTTCAAATCCTGATGTCAATGCCATACGTGGGTTGAGTTTGTTGTTGGTTCTCTCCTTTGCTCTGAGAGGTTTTTTTCTGGGTACTTGGGTTTTCCACTCTTCTCAACTAACCAACATTTCCAAATTCCAATTCGACCAGGAATCAGGTAGATGAAGAACCGCTTAGTGGATGTGCTACCTCTAACTCATTATTTATTGATTATTTATTTATTTAAGTGCATTGTAAATTGTAATTGTAACTTGTTTACCCACGGAGCACTTAGGAGTTCTTTTAAGAACATGTCTGTTAATTATTGGAGTTTGAAAGTGTTGGTTTTTGAGGTGCATGGAAAACCAGAGTACGTGGAGAAAAACTTATTGGAGTGAAGGACTGAGAACCAACAATAAGTTCAACCAACATATGGCGTCAATGCCGGGATTTGAACCCAGGCCTCATTGGTGGGAGGGGGGTGCTCTCACCACTGGGCCATTCTTGCTCATTTGAAAGTGCAGTCAGTATAGCATTCATCTCTAATTCTCCATTTTCAATTTCACCTTTCAGGAATTAGCTGGATTAGGAGGGGATGTAAGGTTCTTTAAAAATAGCTTGGAATACCAACAAAATGTGGAAGTTCTTAAAGATGTGGTAAGTGTGGGCTGTTTTGCCAAACGATGATCTTGTACGATATGTTAAAATGGCTTCAAAGAGACTGTCAAGGCTAAATACAATTTTGTAGGCCGGTTCCAGAGGCCAACTGCACATCGACTGCCAGTTGACACCTTGTCCCATTTGTTCAAACTGTGGATAGGGCTTTTCTCCCGATAAATTACTTATCTTAACTCCCCACCCCCACCCCCTAGTTATAGGCTCATTTACCTGCAAATAAAAAAAAACGTCCGATTTTAACTAGCCTCCCACGCAGGCGTTTTTAGGGGAGCTCGTTTTTCTTCCCTCCCCACATTACTCCCCGTTTGTGGGGAGGGAAGAAATACGAGCTCCCCTAAAAACGCCTGCTTGGGAGGCTAGATTTTAACCTCCTCCGTTATACAAGCCCCCCATCCAAATGTATTGAAAAGAATTCGATTTATTACGACGTTTTAACCCTTCATTAAAAACCAGTAAATGTAAAGGGTATTTTGATAAGCACTGTTGTAGCTTGTTTCGAAATGTCTTTTTTATTTCGTGTTAAGCACCCGCGGATATAAGCCCTTAACCCGCGGATATAAACCCTTAACCCGCGGATATAAGCCCTTATAAGCCGTAACCCGTTTATAAGCCCTCCTAAAACCCCTTACGAAGATGAATACGCCCAGGGCTTATCAGCGGCAGTTTACGGTTTGTATGTCTAACTATTGGTTTTTAGGAGAAAATGTTATCCTTTGTGAGAGATTTGAGCTACTTAGAGGCCAATATTGTTTTGTTTCAAAAATAAAAGAGAGAAATCTCCTCGCGATATAGGATCCTGTTTTTCATTGGTGTAGCCCTGTTTTTGTTTTGTATTGTTTAGATATTATCCTGGACTTTTCAAGGTGGAAATCTCCGTCCACTGTTTGGTGCGCCTTCTCTAATAAATGACAGGTCAGTTTACTGCATTTTCTTCTGCACCCGTGTTTCTGACCAGTCCAAACCCTAAGACCAGCATGTGTCCTTTCGGATGGATTGATTTATTCCATATGTTCACCACGACAACTATATTTTGTTGATACGACTACTCACATGCGCTAAAGGTTTTTTTTTGCGTCTGCAAAAAGGTAGTCGTTGGTATTAACTTCGTTCGGAAATCATGTCAGGCCACAGTAAAGGTTTCCTCGAATATTGGCCAATTTTAGTCGGAAATTGTCCGATGACGGACATTGCTGCATTGCCGGTATACTTGAACAATCAGAACCTTTGTTTACTTGCTGATCATTTGCTTCATTCTCAGGACCTTTATGATACATCAAGCAGTGTTATTGTAAGGAGAAACTGGCTTTTTCCAACTCTCTATATCGGACAGTTGACCCCTCCAACCACTTTGTTAACGCGGCCACTTTTCTGTTGCGCGAAAAAAGTCATTCATTTCTTTTTTCGACGAAATACCACGTTCTGGAGTAATCATTTGTTATTTCCTTCACGATTCAAGTGCCTCGGGAGGATAAGTAGAGCAATCAACTTGACAAACATAACAGTTTTTTAAGTCGTCCAAACGGCATAAATGACAGTTTTTAGCAGGCACATTGATAATCAGAATCAAATTATATTTATCATGACATCATTATGAAATGCTTAGTATCACAGTGTGCCGCTTTCCCTTTAGCCGGGGACTAGGTTCTTCGGTGGGAAAACGCTGAATAAAGTTGTAAGTAGCGCAAAGCGAGCTAAGCGGGAGACTGAAAAGTGGGAAAGGGCGGAGACATGTTCCGGGCCCGCCTTTTCCCTGCCCCTCCTCAGTCCCCCGCGCGGTTTGCCTCTTTCTTCTCTTTCCCTTCGTTATTTTGTTCCTTTCCCCCCGTCCCCCCTTCCCCTCCAGGGGAGCCTGGTTTCAGGCTACTTCGCCGTTAAAACGACCACTCCTCCCTCTGCTGCAGGGACGACCCCCGTTATACGACCTCGTTCGGTTTCACGGCAAATAAGAAAGGGAAGCCATAGTCCTCTTTACTTCATTTCTGTTCTTTCTCCATTTTCCTACAGATTTTTTCTCGGTGGTCCATTGTCCGTGAGAGGTTTTAACTTTAAAGGGATTGGGCCGAGAAGTGGAGGTAAGATTCAAGTTAGAGTTTTAAAATTAAAACTAAGTTTTTTTGCCCCACCCCGCTCGCTAACCATTCCTCCTACAAACAGTTTGTCTTTTTTCTCATACTCCACGTATAATCCTTCCGACAAAACATGTCTCCAGGGACTGCACGGTTTTCATCATGGTAATGTTTACGTGAAACTCTTTTTCTAGTGGTCCATCTTGTGTATTCGTGCAGCTTTGTGTTATCTGAACGTTCTTCTTGGTCTGATTATTTTATTTCCAAGATGATTCGCTGGGCGCAGATACTTACTGGGCAGCAGGCCTCCATCTGTACACTCCTTTACCGTTTAGGCCTGGACGAGGTGGCCTGGGTGACCGTATCAAGACGCATTTGTTTCTTAACAGTGGCAATCTGATCTCCTTAAACACAAGTATGTTATGGATTTTATTGAGCAGAAGTGTATGCAGTGTTATGTTTGTAATAGTATAATGGTGTGGCCAGTCTCGTTAGGTACGTGGTGTATCTTGGTGCATGGGTTTTCTAGTCCACATGCTAATTTGCGCTTGTCCATTGTGATTCACGTCACGTGGTCCTGGCGAGTGAAGTAGTGAGGCCTCGTTTCAGATGCGTGATAAAACTGGGAAAGTGCTCCAAGAGACTGGACAAATGTATGGGAATATATATTGTACTCATGCCTAGTGTATTATACTGATACAACTTTATCCACCATATCATATGGTACTTCATTTCTCGATACAATTTGAGTTCTCATGACGTAGCTATTTGATACACCCTTACTCATGTTTTCACTCGTAAAAAGAGTTATCCCTCCCCCGACTGGAGTTCCTGAGCTGAATCGTCCTCTTTAGGTGTGATGAAATGCACAGTAATTGCTGTTTTTGTTTATTTAGAGAAAATCAAACTTTCTTTTCAGATGTTCCCTGGCGGAACAGGCTTTATGCGTTAAGAGAGAAAGTTCGCTGGTCATGTGGAGTCGGGCTTGTGTTTTTATTGGGGATCGCAAGAATAGAATTAAATTATTGTATTCCATTTGGTGCTCAAAGTTCAGACAGGTATTGAAGCAATTTAATTCCTTTGTGTCTATTTTACTTAAGATTTCCGGGTAGCAAGCTTGTTTGTGAGTTTTTTTTAATACCAAATCATGTATTAATTAGTGCATATTTTTTTTCAGTGTAAATCATGGAATTCAAGTTGGAGTTGGAATAAACTTCCTTTAAAGAACCCTTTATCTTTTAAGAATATTAGACACTTAACGCTGTCTATGTCTGACTGCCTCACTAGCAATAGCCTGCGAGCAGGCTCTTTCGGGGGCTTTGGAGGTGGGAAATGGGGCACTTTTTCTCCCCCCGCCCTTCCAGCCCCCCCAAATAGCCTGCTCGCAGGCTACTCTAGCAACCAGGCACAAGATTCATTTTGCGTTTGTTAGAAGTGAAACTGTCGAACTTACTAAGAATCACCCTGATAACATGGTGCCAAAGGTCGCGAAAGTGTTTAGAAGGAAAAGAAAAACAACTTCTAAATTGTTGTAACAAATTTTAAAGGGACAACGCTACCTATTTAGTGCTACACGCACTGATCACAGGAGACTAACGTCATTCCAAATAATAAATAACGGCCAGATTTTATTTAAAGAAAACTTATTTTCCAACTTTCTTCATTAATTCCAAAAGTAACAGTTTTTTTGAAGCGGGGTGGGGAAAATGTGGGTTACTGGGAGAAACATAAGAGAACATGGAATGACACTCTGGTTACTGAGCACAAATTAAGTCTTTTGACTTTTGCGCGTCCTCTACCCGTCTTAGTTGGCGACGAATTTATCCAGAATTTTTTATTTCAATTCTTACGCTGTCCGTCCTGTGTAAACCTTTCAGATCTTATAAAAACTCGTATGTAAAAGTGATCCCGAAATGGGGTCTAAGAGCGGGCTCTTGTGTTTATAGTTCTTGGCAAACAGCTTAGCTCTCCAACTAACAGAATAACCTTCTTGCTTACTAAAATACTTCACATCCTGTTGGACACCGCTCTCATTTCTTATGTGTCCCATACGTTTCGTTGTCCCTCGCGCAAAAGATTCTACGCGCGAAACCACAACACGAAAGGTTAGAAAAACCCTACACAAGCAAAACTAAATCTACATGCGACGAACATGCCTAAGTTTCTTTGGTCGGATCATTATCAGCCGCTGGAAACAGGCACATATCCAACATTGTCGAAAAATATGAAAAACCCCATTACGTAATTTGTAGCTATTATATAGCGACAACTGATTTACAACCTCTGGATGTAATACCCCTAGTAGTAAGACTCCTGAACGTAAGACCTCTGAACCGGTGTAAGTTCCCTGAACGTAAGACCCGTGGATGTAAGACCCCTGAACGTTTGAACCCTTTATGAAGGACCCTAGGTTGTAAGACCACTGGTCTTGTCTTAAGACGTCTGAACGTAAGATTCCTGGTTGTAAGACCCCTGGTCGTATGACTTCTTGTTGTTTTTCCTGCATCCCATTTGTTGAAGAGCTACAACTGCAACCAGAAGACAGCAAACAGGTTTGGCAACAGGAGCCTATACTTTAGCGCTCGTGCAGTGTTCCTCTCGCGCGAGCCGCTCTTTCTTGCAGACTTGTTACCTTCTAGCACCCTTGTTAATTTCCTGCATCCCATTTGTTGAAGAGCTACAACTGCAATCAGAAGACAGCAAACAGGTTTCGCAACAGGAGCCTATACTTTAGCGCTCGTGCAGTGTTCCTCTCGCGCGAGCCGCTCTTTCTTGCAGACTTGTTACTTTCTAGCACCTGTTAATTAGGCTACGCGTTTTTTAGACCTTCTCACCTATTTAATCCTTAAGTTTCCTTTCTCTTTTTTCAGTGTTTTCGAATTTTGATTTTGAGTTTGAAGGGGCTCAGCAGGGGTTATTCAAAAGAAAAACTTCGCTGATACTTTCTTTTGTCCTATGTAGGTGCCAGGGGGAGGTACTCCCTCACAAGAGGATACAATTTCGTCCCCAGGGCTCTGGGGACGAGGTTGAAGAGGATAATGGGGGATGTGCCGCTGCATGGGGTCGCATTTTCAATAGAGTTACTGTTGTAGATTCTGCTTCCGGATCTGCTTTTCCCTTCCTTTATTGGGCGCCGAGACTGCAAATTAGTGGCCTTAAGTACTGCGCCAGGCTTAGGTGCTCAGCGACCAAAGTTTATCCCCCTTGATCAGATCTTGTTGAGCCCGACCAGTTCAATGACAGACAGAAAGCAACCCTGGTCCAGGCTGAACGAGGGAAACCAGCCTTAGGGTTGGGGCTTCTTCGCTTATGGCAATCATAACTTGTGATCAGGCCCAGGTTTAGAGTTCATGCATTCTCTCTCAGCGTGGTCACGCTAACTTGTCTGTAGGAAGTTTATTTATCACCATAAAGAAGGTAAAGCCTGGTCTCTGGTCCCCACGTTAGAGTTAGAGTCTTCTTTACCTTGGAGGATCCCATTGTATAAACCCTATATACGGCGTATTTGGTTTTTTATCAAAAATAATTCATGTCGTGCCTTTAAAAATTGCGTCCAGACGCAACTCAGTAAACCCTCCCGGTTCCTCAAGTTCCTCCCCTGTTGAGTGAGGAGGGAGCGCGCCAGCAGTGCGGTCAGCAGAGATACACTTGAGTACTAATTGGCGTCGTATGAGACTGGTTTGTCTGAGAAGGGGTGTTTGCACACGTCCTTTCCTTGAAAATTGGTCAAAGTTCGACGCGGAAATGGAACGTTCTGAGGGAGAAACGAAAAAAGATCCGAACTATTTCACCTTTGAAGTCTCCTGGGAAGTTGCAAACAAAGGTAATCTTATGAGTTCTTTGCTAACTTAGTGTATGTTATTCCGAGTTGTAAAGCGTGTCCTGATCTAGTGTGACAAGTTTCCAATCAAAGTTCAAGTTAGAGGTTACAATGTAATATATTGCTCTTAAAGAGTCCTTGTGCATTGTTGTTTCGATTTCCTGAGCCTCCTACCCCTTAAGCGTATTTCTGGGCTTTAGACTTTGTTAATAGTAGTAACTGTGGGTGAGAAACGTGAGCTTATGTAAATGAAGTTTATACCACTTGAGGATTGTTGATATTTACTACGTGTCTTTGTTTGATGACTAACAAGAACAAAGGCTTAAATTTTCGTCAACAAAGTTAACTTTGCTGACATCTGTTTTCTGTTCACGTGCATGGTGAAATCATCGGTGAAAACTAGTTACTCTGGATTATTTTGTTCTTTTCAAGGACTGCATATTGCTGTATTAAGCTTAGTTATATTAAGCTTATTGTGGTCCTTGTAAACAAGACAGCAGTGTGGTGCGAAATTATTTCAACGGATTTCAATTGTTTGAATTTAAGAACCCTGAAAGTAAGACCCTTGAAATAATGGAATGGTGTGTAATTTAAATCAAATTGGTGAACTGTTAAAGGGAACAGAATAGTTAGCCATAGTTTTGTTTGTGTGTACTAGCTCAGCATGACCTGTTTTAACCCTGCTGAGTTATATAAAAGCATGCATTTCCAAACAATTTTGTGTTGCTAGACTTAACATCTGCCAACCCCATGCTTCAAATGGACAACTCTGATCTCATGCCTATTCACAGGGGCAGCTTAACATTTTTCCATTTTGGGGGCAGGGCAGGGGAGGGCTGACTGTGGACTTTACTCTTAGTTAGTCTTTATTTTTCTGGAAAAAGTAGTGGAGGAGGGGGCTAAAGCCCTCCATTCCCCCAGCTCTGCCATCTCTGACCCAAACCCAGTCACATTAATGGAAGATGAGTGCTTTCACTAATGCTTTTACCATTGCACTACTGTAAACTGCTGCTTATAAGCCCCCCCGCCTCCTCCAGTTATAGACCTATCTACCTGTAAACAAAAAATACATCTGATTATAATTTCTCCGTGGATGTCCCCTTGTAGCTCGAATTATAAGCCCCCTCTGAATTCAATTTATTTTGATGTTTTGGAGCCTGATTAAAACCAGCATTGTAAAACATATCTTGATTAGCTCTACTGTAGCTTATTTCAAAGGGCTTTATCTATTCGAGTTGTAAGCCCCCTCGAATATAAGCCTCTCCTCTTATAAGCCCTCTTAAAACCCCTTATCAAGATGTATAAGCCCAGCAGGGCTTATAAGTTGCGGGTCATGGTATCCCTTCCTCCCAATCTGACAAGTAACATGAATGGTTTCAGTTGGAGGAATCTATACTGTGATCAGATCTAAGGCACCTGCAGCAGTAGATGAGCTAGGGACCAGGTACTGTCTGCTTGGAATCTATAATGATCTTCAATGCAAGACAGAAGTTGAGATGATGGAACCTGAAGACCCAGCCATGAAAGCAGCTGTACAGGCTCTAAGGGACAGTGGAGTAGAGGTACTTATGATCTTGTGTTTTGCCCTTCTGCTCCTGGTATCAAGGGGTGTTTTCCATTTAGAAAAGTTTCCGGTAACAGTAAAAGTAAATAGAACATGACTCTCAGGTTGTTTCAGTGGAAAATTTCCTGGGAGCAAATTGGAGCGTCTGAAAAGGTGGTCCTTTTTTTTCCTGGTCAGAATATTCGAAATGGAAATTGTGTTCCATTTCAGCAAAGCCATTTTTGATATCCGTTTCAGAGTTTTGCTGTTTTTTTTTGGTAAATGGAACTGATTTGTGCAAATGGTAAACAAGATTCTGGGACAAAATTTAACAGTCCTGAATTTTGCTTGGCATTTGCCCATGCCCAAACTGTGAAGAGACCAGTTTGCCCATGAAAATGGTGAACAACCACTATTTATTAAAATGTTATCAAATTCTCCCTTTGATTTACAAGGAAAAACAAGACAAATGGACCTGGTGAAACGTTAGGGTTCATCTGAAGGTTCATCACCTAGGGCATTTTTTAGGCACTGATTTGATCGTGACCAAAAATGTAATGTATTAGTGCTTTACTTTATTTTTTATCTCACACTGGTAAATTTGACAATCATAACAATGCTCTTGCAGCTTACATGTACATGTCCTCTGGTCTTCAACAGGCGATAGTGTCATTTTATCTTGTGGGGTAATAAGTAGTACCCTGTCTGTTAGCAATTTGTGAATTTTTTGATCCTCAACAATATTTGGTTAACTTTGATTCTCATTATTTATGCCAAATTTTGTTCATTAATCCTCTTTGGACTATTACTTTTATTGGCTGTTGTGGTGATCATACATGTCTGCCTTTGGACTCTTGATTCCTAAGGCATAAATTCTTACATAAATCATTGTTAGAATGCAATCTTATGTGGAGACTGTGGAGTGCTCGACCATTTTTTGATGCCTGAAATTTTGAAATTCATTAAGCACTGTTGTCTAACTTGCAGACCTACTTTGGAAGATGGCTGATTGATGGGTATCCAAAGGTAAAAAGCAGATTGTTTAGCTTTTTATACTCATTCATTATAATAACATAATTTATTAGATTCTCAGCTTTTCCTTGTTAATAGGCATAAGACTAGGGAATATTCTGCCATGTGTCTCATCCTTTGATGACTCTTTTACTAGTAAATCTATTCAAAATTCAAAATGTACTCTTAGTATACCTGCCAACTCTTAGGTGTGAGTTCGCGGGTTGAAAACTTTGAAATGATTGAAAAATTTGCCGCCTTGCTTGACACAATTTCCAAAAATTTAATCAGACCCATGTTTTGACAATACCTTCCTCGCGATCTCTGATTTTTGAAGTGAAAAGCACTGTACAGTTTAGGCGCCCTAAGACTGGGACCTACACAGTGTGGCAGACTTCAGACGTCTTGGAAGACTTGAATCTTCTTTTTTGTCTTTGGAAATGATCGTGTCATCTTCAAAAATCCCAGCACTCCCAGGATAAAAATCTCACGCTCATATCTCAGAAAAAGTTGGTAGGTATACTCTTAGTGGTTCTGTGGATACATTTTGTAGTATTGCATCCATGTTTTACTCGACTGTACAGTTTAACCTACACAGTGTAGATCTTCTTGTCTGTCTTTTGAAGGTGGTTCTTTTCGACATTGGTACAATTTACCACAAGCTGGGGAACATGAAAAGTGCCTTTTGGAACCGTACACACATTGGCATTCCAGACCCTGATACTGAGTCTAATGACGCTGTTGTGCTTGGATATTTGGTGGCGCAATTTATTGGAGAGGTAAAGAATGTTTGATGAGTGCAGAATTACTCCACAACAATTATTTTATGTAATCAACATATTTTTGAACTGTTTAACACTTTCACTGTTGTTTTGTTTATTTTGCTATCCTCTTCCAGAGAAAAGTGTATATACTACGTGCAGTGGCGAATCCAGGGGAGGGGCCCTGGGGGCCCGGGCTGCCCCTTGTTTTTGGACCAAACTGAGGACCGAAGGGCAGGGGGAGGGGAGGGCAGAGGAGGTCCAGAACTACTGGAAGCCCCCTTGAATTTGCAGAATTCTAAATTCAGTGGAAACACCCCATGGTGGTGGGCTTTAGCCATTGTTGTTAGCTTCTTACAATGTAATTAGTTAATTAGTTGTTTTTTCTTTGCACAGTTCCGTGCAAAGTGTGACCCAGAGCTCCCCATAGTTGCACATTTCCATGAGTGGCAAGCTGGAGTTGGCCTGGTTCTGCTACGCACAAGTAATGTTGCAGTTTCAACTGTTTTCACTACACATGCGACCCTGCTAGGGCGATACCTCTGTGCTGCTAATGTGGATTTTTACAATAATTTGGATAGGGTGAGAATACCATGTTATTGTTCAAAAATGACATTAAAATAATTTGCATTATTAGGTGAAGTAGTGTAGCGCTTCCCACATTAGTTTTCAGGTCCTTGTTGTTGAATAGGTGGATTGTGCTCTCTATCAGATAATCACTGTTCACTCTAGATACCATACTGTCCAACTGAGAAAACTATGAATGAGCACCTAAAATATTTTCGGGAATGCTTATTGTGTTATGGCCAAATCACTTTGGAGAACTAGATGTGTGAGTAAGCTGCAAATCCACAAGTAATTTCCCTTGCTTCTTGCAGTTAAGTATTCTTGCCCCTGGATGGCTTCTTCCTTTCAACACGATAACATTCCAGGTGAAATACTTCTGGACCCAGTTATGCAAAAGGTGGATAGAGCTATCCCCTGGATAAATCACTATCCAGTTGATAACGCAATTAGTTTTCGTAATACTTATCCAATGGATAGCAATTTATCTGGTGGATAGCTCTATCCAACTTTTGAACAAACGGGGCCAGGTGTTTAGGGTTTTCTCAGTTTGATGTTAAAGCATTAAACTTGTATTGTGTATCTGCCCCTTTCACCCAGTGAACCTGTAGATTAATGGTCTTTTTCTTCTTTCTTTCTTTTTTTGTATACTTCATGATGAACAGTTTGAAGTTGACAAGGTTGGTAACTAGCATATTTATTTGTCAATTTTAAGGCTGTGCTCTGAGAAGACTTAAAGGGAGCCAGTGCTCTGAACCTGTGAAATCAAGGGTGTCAAGCATGTGATTTCTACAAAAAATAACCTTAAAATTTTCTAGTCATGGACCGGCGGGTGCTCCCGGAGAACAGCCCTGAATTTTCTGTTAAAGGCAGATTACTAAGTATTGTTTACTTCTTGATCTTTAGGAAGCTGGTGATCGTAAAATTTATCATCGTTATTGTCTGGAACGTGCTGCTGCTAACAGTGCGCATGTTTTCACTACTGTTTCTCACATCACAAATGATGAGGCTGAACATCTCCTTAAAAGAAGAGCAGGTGAGTTGCTTATTAAGATCATTATTGGCATATCAACTTAGGCGGAAACCAGTTCAAAGCCATTCAACCTATATACACAGACATGTATACTTATACACCTTATATTTAAGCGATAAACAGAGAAGCAGTTAAAGGATGCTAGAACTATCAGTTTCTTCAGGGCTCTTTTTTAGGTTTGGAAGCTTTTTCCTGGACAGAGTATGGGTAGTTTCCCAATAGAAGTTAAAACACTTAGACTGTCCTTTATAGCTGCAGGTGATCTTTTGAAGGCAAAGTTGTTAACAAATTTTCAATTTTTTTCTGACAGAAATTGTGCTGCCCAATGGACTTAATGTTGTTAAGTACACGTAAGTATATATTGATACTATTATTAGAATTAACAATTTTAATAGTAATAATAAATATTATAAACACAGCTTTGTGGGCAATCTCTGAGGACAGGTCTAAAGTTCAGTCTAGGCTGCACTGGTTCTACAGGTAAAAAGCTGATACTTCTGAGTGGGTAGCTACTTTACTGGATTATTTTTATCTGTGATGTACATGTACAACAAAATTTGTTGACTGCAATTTTTATTTAATTTGTTTAGTGCCTTACACGAATTTCAGAATCTACATGCCATCTCGAAGGAGAAGATCTGTAATTTTGTTCGAGGCCATTTCCATGGGTAGGTAAATCTCATACAGCAGGATCTGCACTTAACCAAGTACAGTTAAACCTGTACATAACGGCGCTGTATATTATAACAGTCACCTTGTCATTTCCTAAGGGTGACCATTGTACACGGGTTTGATTGTAACTGAGTTACTGAAGTCTTGAACTCTCTGGAGTCAAATAATGAATACAAATACAAGAAATTGTATAATAGGTCAAGTTAAAACAATGATTTCAATTATTTGAACAACACTGGAATATCTCCATGGTGAGACATTATGCAAGTGCAGAAGCACATTGATATTTTGCTGTTGATTATGTTGTTGCCAAAGGGGACAAGGGTGGCAGAGTGGTGGGAGTACTCGCTTCCCACCAATCATTTTGCCAGCAGGAGATGGCTTATCCTCCGTAACCGTAGTAACTTTTTTGGTAAAAAAACGTAAATTGAAGCTTTCCAGGGTGTCTTTGTTTTAGAAGATGCACAAAAACTTTTTAAGTTCTACATCTTATTCTTAATTAATTTACTGTCACCTCCCTTGAAAAAATAACATTTGAACAGTGGAAGTTGTTGTAAAGCTGTGCATTTATAGATTAAGCAGATTTAACTGATTTATTTCAATCCGTCAATTGGGTAAGTTCAATGTCGATGGTTGAAGAAAAATTTGTTGGAAACTCTTCTTTGGCAGGCTTACAGTATGCTTTCAGTTTTAGTAGTGTTTACCTGACTAATGTGATGAGTTTTTGATGGGTCTCTGTGTCATTTTTTGTAGGCATCTAAATTTTGATTTGGATAAGACGCTGTTCTTTTTCTCTGCTGGAAGGTAACAGAGTACAGAATGATTAGTTAGTTTTACTGTAATTTCGATTCTGCTAATCCTGCTTCTACTTTTAATTGTATATTGCATAATTTGTAAATAACTTAATTTGATTTATTTTTCAATTGTAATTGATGTACTTTAACAGTGAAGAGCCACCCAGTGGATCTGTTAATAAACCATTATGATTATGATTATTATTATTATCAAGTTTTTTCAAGAAATATTATCTTTGGCCTTTTTCTGGTCGAATGGCTCAGTTTCTTTGACTTTTTAAAATTTTATCACAAATTTGTATACAATAAATTGTAATCTCAAGTAGAGATAATTTCCAATAAAGAAGATATAGGCCCAGTATAATCGCCGTAATTTAACCCCGGTTAGTAACGTCTGCGAAGCAGGCCAATATCCTTGTTCTGGGCCCCATTGGACTCAATGAATTGCCAGAAGTGTGTTTCAAATTTACTTGCATCTTGATTGGCCAATGTACAATGTTACTTTTAACGGGCCAATCATGGCTCATACTTAAACCTGGTGCACAGGTGGCGGCCAAGAACAAGGACTTCATCGCTGTGACGGTACCGTACAAGCGACTTATTGACGGACTTAGCAAGACTAACTATGAGAGAGTGACTGCACAACCGACAATTAAACTAACAATAAATGACTTTTTGACTGTGACAATAGACGAATCGAAACGCACCCATGACATTACGAGTGTTCATCGCCAATAATATTGCCGCTTAACTGACAGATGATCAGTAACATCGCAACTTAATTTACCAATCGGGTCAATAACCAGAGTTTAATACCATCGAACCTGACGTGATACAACTCACTTTCACTCTAAAGATGACTACTGCACAGGTTGTCGAAACGTCAATGTCAGCAACGGTCCTATTCAGGACTACTACATTCAACTGGACGATCATACTCAATCTACTTTTAAAATGATTCCTAGGTTCAAGCCTTTCACTGTATCAATGACTGTACTACCTCCATAGGTATGAATACTTTAACAAGGGAGTTGACATGTACATAGAAAGTTTGGCAAGACTTAACCACCTATTAAAGGTAATTGAATTGCCTTAAAATAAAATAATTGGGACCTTTAGCTTTGGAAGAATTCAAACCGCTGACACACACAAATAGTGGGATCAATTGAGGTTTCTGTGTAACTGACCACCTAGCCCTCCTTTAAGTCACAATTTTGCCCCAAGTGAGAAGTAAATGTTAATGTTGACTTACGGGAGGGGTAGGTAGAGTTTTGGAATCTTTTCAGCTTCTAGCTTAGCCAGTTCACAGACCCTCTATTTTCTCTTAAAGGTCCGTCGAGTGAGGGTGATAAAATATAAACCACAGGGGATTTATTGACCGCCAGCGCAAGGGAGTAGTGGTGGGGGAAGAAGCCTGCGCTCGTTCTCGCGCGCTCGCAAGCTCGCCGATGTTTTCGAAAAGAACGAAAAGAAAAATAAAACAACGTCTTTGTACGGGCTACTTCTAGCTGTAATTCATCATTTATCTTTTGTCTATTTATATGGCTTGCTTTGCCTTTTTAAGCTGTTGTAAATGCCATCTTAAGGCAACATTCATACTTTACATCTTTCTACAGGAAAGTGGATCTAGTGTAACTGTAGTTGCTTTTTTGATCTTCCCTGCGCGGACCAGTAACTTCAACGTTGAGTCTCTAAAAGGCCAAGCAGTCACCAAACAGCTCAGGTAAATAATTCAATTTAATTTTCTCGTCCTCCTCGTGATTGTTCGCGCTCGCTAGGAGCGTTACCACGCAAAACAATTCTTGATATGCTACAATTTCTTTGAAAAACCGACGATTTGTTGGAAAATGCGCGATGAAAACAACGTCCGCAGGTACCCACAAAGAGGCTTAATGTCCATGTTCATGAATTAGATGTAACCTACAATTTGGTGTTCCAGAGATACAGTCACTGACATCCAGGACAAAGTTGGAAAGCGGATGTATGAGAGTTGTTTAGGGTAAGGTTTGTCTTTAAGTAAACTTAGGCTATTTGTGTACCTTTTTCCTTAAGAGATCTCCAACTTAGTATTAATCTGTAAAATGCCTCTACAATAGGCCATTTGCACGATGGCGTCATTTTACTACGATTAACAGAGTCCGTTTTTTCTTTCATACTAAAATTTGGTAATCCCAGTGAGGTTTAAAATAACAAAAGCCCTCATTAGTACAAGAAAGCAAACCCCTGAAGGATTTTGGTTGTAGTAGTAGAATGACGTCATCGTGCCAATGGCCTATTGAACTGTTGTTTGATTTTTATGGTGGAGAGGCTGTGCTGGTCCATTGGAGTTCGGATCTAAAAATTTTCTGAAGCTCTTTATAATTTATTGTAGCTATCCTACAAAGATTGCAAGAAGTTGCGATGTGCACTTTTGAGTGAATGCCGTCAGCTTCTTTAAATGTTTTATCAGGTGGTAGATTGCAACCAGCTTTCCCCTGTGGTACACGCGTTAACGGTGCAGCTGCGTGACGCAACGTGGCGCCGATAGCGATGGCGACAGCGACATTGCACTTGCACCCCTTTGTCCGCAGCAGAGCATTAGCTTTTTGCCCTTAATTTTCACGAGAAAATTTTTCGCAGGTGTTTAATATAGCGTATGTTTGTTTGTTTGTTTTTTGCAAGAATTACGAAACTTCGACAATTGCTTCGTACTTTAAAAACCAAGTAAGGCTCCATCCAAGTGGGATCCCTGTAGCACCTGTTTACGGGCACATGCCCTCGTAGTGTCTCCTACTTCAAACAAAAAGCTGTTAGTTGATCAAGAAACAAGCTTAAAAAATTCTAGCCAGCCAATTACGTCTGCTACTTATTCAAAAATAAGAGCTACTCTGTAGAGGCCCAAAGGGGCATGGCGAGAGTGCAGGCTCAAAAATGCGGTTGGTAATGGACCCTCGGTTTTCGTGCCTGCACTCACTTCTTGCAGCGGAAATCTAATAACGCCACATCGGACCTCTGCGGAGGAGAGAGGGACTTGCTTTCCTGCAGTGCTGACAGTTTTTAACAAGATAGTGAAAAAAATAGACCTTTTTACCAATACGGCGGCCAGATTGAATTTATTAGATTTAAGGAGTATTATGGGATGCCCAGGGGGCACTCGTTCAGTATTTACGGGCACTTTTCGGGCAAAAAGAGAACTTCACTGTATATTTCTTGGGAAAAAGGTGTTCATTATTAAATCCAAACACGGCACAACGATCTTTTTTTCCCATTGCAATCCCATTGCTAAGAAAAATTGGCCCAAAAAGCGTGCGTACGTATACTGAGTGAGTATATCAGATCGTGCTCATGCCCCCTGGGCATCCCATAATACTCCTTAAATCTAATAAATTAAATATGGCTGCCGTATCGGTAAAAACGTCTATCCCCCCTTTTTTTGTTTGGAAACAGTGGGTCGCTTCCCGATGGGAATACACTCTTGGAAGCAGACGACATAATCAAATTAAAGAGATGCATCCTTGGTACTAAGGTAACAATTAAATAATGTTTATTTTAGATAGCTTCCAATTTATTTGGGGAGGGATTAGTGGAAGTAGTAATGAGATACCGTGTGGACTGCCAATTTGACGTTATGGATTATGAAATACACAAGATGGGTGGAAGCGCCTACGTTTTGTCTATCTTTTTTGTGTTAGCCCCGTGCAAAATATCTCAAATTATTATATGGCTGAATCCGCGTGTGGGAAGATAAAGCGAATCCTGTGTTTTAATTGGCTACCTGAATGGGCAATATGGGACTTTGCGGGATTCCCCACGTTGGAGCTGCAAGAAAATTCTCTTTCATGTGACAAATTCTTTACGGACCAAGTTTCTGTGGTCAAAACGACTGGGTGTTAGCCTCGATTTTTTTTCTCCTCGGTTTATAAAAGCGCAAAGAAGAACTTGGCCAATATTCAGCTTTTTTGACCTCACACTTGTTCAGTAACGCATATAATTATACTCCTGAATGCGTGGGCTTGAGAAATCTTAGTGTAAGTTTAATTCCAAAACAAATGGGATGTAAGCTTTTGAATCCTACAAACAAAGGAAATAAATTTTATTTTAGCTATAACAATGCATTTACGGTTGTGTACTGAGTATCCTTACTTTGAGTGGAAGTGGGGCTTGACTTCAGTTTGATAAAAACCTTACTTCCTTTCAAATGTAAATCATGCTCTTATGCGTTATGAATGGAACTGAGGTCACTATCAAAACATAATTACGGCCAGCCTCCCTTCCACACGAAGGATACGGTAAAGGAAGTTGATGGCCTAAATTAAAGTGACTAAATTCGCAATATCTGACTGATATCTTTATTTTTAGCGTCCCAGTCTTCCTGCTATAGTGACTCATAACATGATAGAGGACTCCACAGACCCAATTCTGTGCCATCTCAGAAGAGCACACCTCTTCAACGGTCCACATGATCGAGTTAAGGTAATGCTTAACCACAAGTTTGAAAAACGAATGGTGACATGCCAGAGTACTTTCAAAGAGGTTTTTCATCCACAGATTGAAAAGTTGAGGCGTTCTCATGTCTCCAGAATGGACAGGCAATTTAAATTTTGGGATCCGTTTTCAATCTGTTGTAAATTTCCCTTGCTTTAGCCTGTGTAGCCGGCGGTTTCGTCAGCACGCGAGCGAGCCGGGAAGCTGCGAGAAAATTGTCAATGCCATTCCCGATTCCTCTCGCGGCATTCTCGCTCGTTCGCGTACGTACTACCCAGCAAAACCGCCAGATACGTAGGCCAACTTCGCAACACTGACTGAAAAGCAAAGTAATTTATCTAGCCAATCACAGTGCTCGTTTACAGTCAAGTTAGCCAATCACGTCAAGAAGAACGAGATGCAAGCAGCGGGCGCCAAGCGCAGAAAAACGTTTGTTTACTTGTCATGATTGGTTCGGGTTTTAATTGTGATTGAGTGAAAAAAATGGCGATAGATATTTCAGCTAATCTAAAGGCACGGAAGAGCGTTTTTACTCACATTACCAGTGGCTATGTTATAAAGCGTTTACATAAGAAAACGGGTCAACCCCCTTAGGATTGCCCTGTAGCATGACTGTGGCCGCCGTTCATTGCTTTTGGTACACCAACATGGCCAACGTGACGTTGTTTGAAAACTCTCTATATTAATTGATGGAATAGAGGTACAATTGAAGGAGTGATCTGTCAAGCTGATCCAGATCGGGTGGAAGGGGAACTGATTTATCTCACTAGTTGGAATGCAGAGCGGGAGGTCGCAGCCTCGACCCCTGAGGGTCTTAAAATAATTGAGGATGAAGGTACTGCCTTTGCCTTGCGAACAGCGAGAACCTCGCATGGCCCAGATGACCACATACTAATGGCGGTCCCTTCTTCTGTAGGAATAAAAAAAAATTGTCCGCATACTTAGGACTTTCTTCTACATACACTGACACTTAAAGGAAGCAGGCGTTTTTTCCCTCTCCATTCTCACTTTTTTGAACTTCTGTCAACCCAGTATTATGCTCTTCACAGGTAATTTTTCACCCTGAATTCCTGTCCACCATCAGCCCTCTTCTACCAATGGATTACAGCGATTTTGTACGTGGGTGCCATCTGGGAGTGTTTCCTTCTTATTACGAGCCATGGGGCTACACTCCAGGTAACGAAGTCGACATTTGGGAGCTTAAGCAAATTTTTGAACGTTTTTTAACGACGCACGCCAACCGGAAGTCCATTTTTTGCGCCTATTAACAAGGTAATGCGTCTGTGTAATTTACTTGCGCTTTTGTTTGCGTCTATTATTTTCAAGGCTCAGAAATTCGAAAACTGGCTCGGGCCAACATAAGTGATTTTAAACAACATGTTTAGTATAAACTGTAACCCTTTTTCATTGACTTTTTTA